TTCCATTGTATGTACATACCAAATCTTCTTTATCCAGTCCTCTATAGAAAGACAATTTGGTTGTCTCTGTCTTGGCTACTGTTAATTTTTGCTGCAGTGAACATAGGGGTGCATATATCTTTGTGAACAAATGTTTTCAAGCTTTTCAGGTAGACACCCAGAAGAGGGATTGCTTGCTGGGTCATATGGTAACTCTTAATTTTTTGCAGAACCACAAACATCTTTATTACAAATGCTACTAGCAACTAACTCATTTCATGATATACTAATGGTTCGTGACCTGTGTTTTGAAAAATACTGCTACAGGCAATGGGAAGTCAGTGAATGTGGTTGAGGACACCAGTGCTTTAGGAAAGTTTTTCACATAGTATGGATGGCATGGAAGATGGGGGGGGCAGGGAGAAGAATGAAGATGAAAAAGACTTTTCTAGGTGGAAATGGATACAACATGATAAATATCCAGGACAGTCATGATGAAGGTGTAAAATGGAGCAGTGAATATAGAGGTGGAGAGTGGGACAGGAATTTGAGTCAGATGTTGAAGGTAGAAACAGTAGGACTTGCAAAGTGACCAAGAGGTTTCAACCTGAGGGAACTATGCAGAAAATGATAGCATTAAACCAGAGGTTTGGGTGGAGGAGCTGGATTGGGACAGGGAGAGATAAAGTCTGAAGAGTTGTTAGCCAGTTTGAGTTGTGTCTGTGGAATAACAAGGTGGACAAGTCCAACAGGCTGTGGGATGTACTGGGCTGAAGCATCGGGGGAAGTTAGTAGGTACAGATGGGGGACATGGGGGATAATATTTAAAGCCATGGGAGCACAAGAGGTTACCCAGTACAATATATACAGAGAAAAAGAGAACATCCAGGATAGAAACTTACACTTAAGAGCAACCGAAATCCGCTTTAGGGGCTCCTGCTTTCTTTTGATTGATGTTCGCATGACATCTTTTCCTATCTTTTTTACTCACAACCTACTTGATCATTATACCTGAAGTAAATTTACTGTAGATAGCAAATAGGTGGGTCATGGTTTTTAAGTCCATCTGTCTTTTAATTGTATTTACACCATTTCTATTCAAAATAAATACTGATATGTTAAGCCTACTGTTTTATTTTTTGTTACCTGTTGTACCCTCTGTTTTTAGTTTTTCTGCCTTCTTTGTCCTGCTTTCCTGTGGGTAACTTGAACATTTTTTCAAATTCCATTTTGGTTTCTCTATAATTCTTTTTAGTGAATCCCTCTGTAATAGCTTTTTTAGTGTTTTCTGTCAGTATAATGTTACACATAATTTATCATCATCTTCTGATGTCATCATTTTACCAGTTCAAGTGAAATATAGAAACTTCATCTCCCCTTTATATCCCTTTACACTCCCCAGTTTATGTCTTAAATATTTCCTCTATGTATACTGAGAACATGAAACTGACATAAAATTTAATCCAATCATCAAACAATTCAGACAACTTAAGAGGAAAAGAAATTCTGTTGTATCTACTTGTGTTTTTGCCTATTGTGTTCTTTCATCTAAGGTTCCTTCTTAATGTCTCTTTTCTGTTTTAAGAATTTTAGTCATTCTTATAAGGTAGACCTCCTACTGATAAAGTCCCTGTTTCTTTTCACCTAAGAATGTCTTGATTATCTCTATTCATGAAAGATATTACCACTGGACATAGGATCTGGGGTGATGATTCTTTCTCTTCAGCACTTGGAAAATGTTGTGCCACTTCCCACTAGGGCTTCATGAGTTTCTGAAGAGAAACCCACTGTTACTCTATTTTTTTACCCATATAGGTAAGGTGTTGTTTCCCTTTGGCTGATTTCTAGATGTTTTCCTTGCCTTTTGTTTTCAGAAGGTTGACTAGGATGTTTCTTGGTGTGAATTTCTTTTGGTTTATCCTGATGGTGTTTACTTGGCTTCTTGGGCATAATCTGGAGGTTTATGACCTTGCTCAATTTGCGAAGCTTTTATCCACTTGTTAAAAAAGATTTTATTTATTTATTTTTAGAGAGGGGAAGAGAAGGACAAAAAGAGGGAGAGAAACATCAATGTGTGTGGCTGCCTCTTGTGCACCCCCCATTGGGGACCTGGCCCACAACCCAGGCGTGTGCCCTGACTGGGAATTGAACCGGTGACTCTTTGGTTCACAGGCGAGCACTCAAACCACTGAACCACACCAGCTAGAGCTTTATCCATTATTTCTTTAAGTACTTTTCCAGTCTTGCCCTCTTTCTCCTCTCTTTCTGAGATTCTGTTGGCATGAATGTTAACATGAATGTAACTATTAACATGAATGTAAATAGTCCCACAGGTCTGGAGTCTCTGGTCAATGCTTTCTTTTTTATCTTCGTTTTTTTAAATCTAATTTCCCCATTATTCAGATTGGGCAATTTCTATTTTTTTATGTTTAAGCTATCTGATTCTTTTCTCTGAATCTCCCATCTTTCTGTGGAGCAAGACTTTAGACAATGGAATACTACCCAGACATAAGAAAAGATGAAATACTACCATTTGCAACAACATGGATGGACCTTGAGAATATTATGCTAAGTGAAGTAAGTCAAACAAAATGTTAAGGACCATATAATTTCACCCATGTGGGATATAAAGCAGAAAGCAGCAAATGAACAAACAAGACAAATAAAAACAAATAGACAACAGTATGGTGGTTACCAGACGGAAGGGGGGTGGGGTTAGTAAAGGGTAAAGGGGGTCAAATATATGATGATGGAAGATGATTTGACTTTGGGTGGTGGGCACATGATGCAACACATCATGTATCATAGAAATGTCTACTTGAAATCTGTATGATCTTATTAACCAATGTCACTCCAATAACTTAATGAAAAGAAGGATTTTAGAGTTTTTAAAGGTTTTTTTTGGCCATGGTATTTTTTATTTCTCAAACTTCCATATGATTCTTCTTTATGTGTTATATTTCTTTGTTGGGACTCTACTTATATGATGAGATTTTCCATTTTATCATTTGTTAAGTGTGTTACAATTGCTCATTGGAAGTTTTTAATGACAGCTGCTTTAAAATCCTTGCCAGATGACTCTAACTTCTGTGTCATCTCAATGCTGGCATGTTTACTTTCTCTTGTCATTTAAGTTGATAACCTTGGTATGACAAGTGATCTTTTTTTAAATTAAATTTGAACACTCTGAATCTCTTAAATTTTTTGTTTTTGCAGACCTGCTCTTACATTGTCTTTTTCCAGGGAAGGGAGCCAGTAGAAACCTAGGTTCTCACTGGGTTTCTGACATCCAGGTTGGGGATGACTTCAGCCCTCTCTCTAGGCCTCTGATGATCCCATCCCAAGTATTAGTGGTAGGAATGCCTGGTTTAAAACTGGTAAGGGTAGAAGTCATACTCCCCATTTGGTCTTCACTGAGAGGGATCACTTTTCCTTGCTCCCAACTATTCCTTCCCTTGGGCTTGGACAGGGGTTTCTTTAAAGTCTAGTGAAAATAAAAGTTTAGGCTCTCCACTTGCATACCTAATCTTCTCATTAGCTACCGTGTTATCATGACAGCTGGCCTTTTCCTGCACCAAGTTACCTCCCTCCCTATCTCCTGATGCTTTTGCAGAAAAACCTGAAGCATGCCCCTTCTCTCTGTCCTTTCTCAGACTCTCTATGGGACAGAGTGGGAAGACCAGAGCCTCTGCATGCAGATTGACCAGGTTCCAGTCAAAATCTGGCATTTTCAGGCTGTTTGGCTCTGGAACAGTTACTTAAATTTTCTGAGCTTCTGTTTTTCTCAGTTGTAAAGGTGTAGGAAGCCCTCAGGTCTCTTGCTGACGTGAGCAATAGTAGGTCAAAGGACTTGGCACACCAGGGGTTCAATAAACAATAGTTGCCTTCCTTTTACACCCTTGCCAAAGTAGAAATACAACACCACAAGGACAAAAAATGTGAAAGTGTACACCCACTACCATAAAGTAGAATCTCATTCCAGGCATTCATTCCAAGGGTTAATTTAAATCTCTTGGTCAAAGTCTTATTTCTTAAATTGATACACTTAATACCCTCCCCTCTTTTTCTCTAGGTTGCTGGAAATCACTAAAGGGAGACCGCTGGACCCATGCTACTCTCGGAATGAAGGTGGGAGCTGGGGCGGGAGGGGAGCGGTCCTCCGGCAGAGGAGGGCAGGTGAAGGAAGGCCTGGTGCCAGCCCAGGCAGTCCCCTGACCGGGTGCTATTGTGTTCTGAGCAAGGACAACATCGTCGCCTAGTCAAAGCCACTCCCAGAGGGAAGGAGGCGTCGGGGACACAGGCAACTCCCACTTTGCCTTCCTGCCCCTTCACCTCTGGCGCCTCAGAGCAACTGCTGCGATCTTAACTGATGCAGGACCTCCCCCCGCCCAGTCTCCATCGCTCCCATCCCCCTTCCGGAGCACGGGATAGGAGAGGAAGAAAGTGGTGAATGAGTGAAAGCAAATACAATGAGCGCGAGCACTGGCCATCCTCCCCATCCTGGCCGGCTGGGATTCCTCAGCACTCCCAGCCGGCAGTATCTGGAAGCCGCCACCAGCTCCAACGCGGTACGCTCTGCTCGCAAAACGCTCACCCGTGCTCCAGGTCCTGAAGTTCAATGGGAGACTGAAAAAAATCTCGACACCTAAAGAGCAAGGAGCCAAATACACCTCGGAGCCAACAAACACTGAAAAAAAATAATTGGTGCAAGAATGTCCCCCAACTCCCAAGAAGATAAAAGTGTCCTGGAATCAACATCCCCCTCCCTCCGCCTTGTGCCTCCATCTGGCTTTCTCAGCCACATCTGGCGAGGTCTCTCTCCGTCAGTCGCTCGGTTTCTCTGTCTCTCCTCACTCCAGCCTCCTTCCCATCCTTGAAATCCGTGGTGTATGGGCTCCTTTCCCACCCCCCTCAGCAAGTAGCCCAACAATAGGTACTTTACAAGGTAACTCAGCCCTCTCCCTCAGCGAGAGATGGGGGCGGTTTCAAGGGGGCCTGGGGCGCTGCAACGTTCCACTTACCTGATCTCTTTAATGCTTTCCAATTTGCACATTATTTCTTGCTCATCTGCCATGCTTTTCACTTTCAATTTCACGTCCCGAGAAATGTACAAACACACAAATCCAGGGATACAATAGACACAATGTAATCACCTCCTCCCGGCATGGGGCTCTGAGTCTGTGCGGTAGGGACTCAAAGAAGGCCTGGGAGCTGTAGTCGCAGCTCTAGGGTCAGCCAGGCAGCCCAGCTGATTGCAGGACTACAAATCCCAGAAGGCCAAGCGAGACACGCCTGTTTCTTTTCCTGCAGCCGCACTTTAAATCAATTTGTCACAGATAATTATGTCAAAGGTTGTGAAGAGTGCAAGGGAATGGTAAAAGCTGAGTGGAGGGGGCACAAAATGGAGAGTTATTGCCTAATGGATACGTATTTTCTCTTTGTGGGGTGATGAAAAAGCTTTTAAAATAGTGGAAATGGTGGCACAGCATTGCGAAAGTTATTAATACCTCTGAATTGTGTACATTTATACATAACAATGGTTAAGTTGCATATTTATGTTATATATACACAATTGAACTAATTTTAAAATGGATTTTCTTGTGTCTTTCTTTAATGAATTAAACCCAGCACTGCAAAAATTTCAAATCATAGCAATGAAGACTTACTGACTGCACAGTAGCAAAAGTCAGTCTCTCATCAGTCAATAAGAATTTAAAGTATATTTAAATAAGCCAAAGTGACTGAATTGAGAACTTTGGGCTTGACAGGTATCCCATAGCATACTGCCTGTGCCCTGGTGCCCAATCAATCAAAATATATTTACTGTGAACACTCTATATGCTCTCCCTGGATAATTCATTTACTTCCATGATTTCATGACTTTTTATATATTCATGACCCCTACATCTTTACCTCCAGTTTAGAACTCTCTTAACTTCAGATTCATATGTCCAACTGCTTGCTGGCTGTCTTCATCTAGATATTCTATAGACATCTCACATTCAGCATATCCAAAATTCATCAATTATGTTCTCCCCTGACACACATTTACCAATCTTCCCCTCCTGAATATCAGTGGCTATACCTGACTGCAGTCCAGAAATAGAAAGTGTATCAGTTATTTATACAAAGAATATAATATTAAAAAATTGAAAAGGCAAACAACAGAGACACTGAGGTATCACAGATAGTAACTGCAGTAAGCAGTGGAAATCTCTAGGGGTGGAGGAATAAAGAAAACAAGTTGGGATTATTAGACTTTAGAAACTTAAAGGAGTCCTAGGAGGCTAAGACCCAGTTTCCTGAGCAGGGTACCCTGCTTTACTGGAGCTTGGGTCTCTGAGGGAATGTATGAAGCTGGTCCTTAGAATACTGGTAGAGTGGCAGAAAGTGAAGACTGGAACTAATTCCTACTGCAACCAACTGCCACAGACTAGTGAAAGTCCATTGCTGGAGCAACATGAACAGGAACAGAAATCATAACAAGACGGAAAAGTCGCTTCTCCCTCTGCCAGGCTTGCAGTCTCTTTATAGTGCCCCCCCCCAGCCCCTCATTTGTGAAACCTAACAGAAAGCCAGTGGCAAAAGAAAATTTGGTTTGCAGTGTCCTGGTTCATAAAGAAGAGTATAAGGGTGAAGCCTGTATAAGGCTGAGTCTGGAGCTGAGGGAGAATAACTAGCATGGTGAGTACCAATGACCTTCTCAAAACCCTGTATCCACTCATCTACTGATAAACACTTGGGCTGCTTCCAAACCTTGGTGATTGTAAATAATGCTGCAATGAACATAATGGTGCATATAGTCTTTCAAATTAGTGTTTCAGGTTTCTTCAAGTAAATTCCCAGAAGTGGACTCGTTGGGTCATAAGGATGTTCCATTTTTAATTTTTTGAGGTAACTCCACACTGTTTTCCACAGTGGCTGCACCAGTCCGCATTCCCACCCACAGTGCATGACGGTTCCCTTTTCTCCACAGCCTCGCCAGCACTTGTTGTTTGTTGATTTATTGATGATAGTCATTCTGTCCATTAGTTTTTTTCTTTTTTTCTTTTTTGCTCAATTCCTCCACCCCTACACCTAGCCTACCACCCCCAACAGCAGACAGCCTACTCACTATCTATGAATCTGTCTCTAATTTGCTTGTTAGTTCATTTTGTTCATTAGATTCCACATATGAGTGAAATAATGTGATACTCATCTTTCTCTGATTGGCTTTTTCCTCTTAGCATGATGCTTCCCAGGTCCATCCATGCTGTCTCAAAGAGTAAGATTTCATTTTTTAAGGCTGAGTAGTATTCCATTGTGTTAATATAAATGGTGATGGATGGAGACTTGTGCCCCCTCCACTCAGCAAAGAGAAAATATATATCCATTAAACAATAACTCTCCATTTTGTGCCCCCTCCACTCAGCTCTTAACATTCCCTTGCACTCTTCACATAATTATTTGTTACAAATTGATTTAAAGTGCAGCTGCAGGTGTGTTTTGGGGTAATAAACACAATATAGTATACAGATGATGTGTTTTTGAATTGTGCACCTAAAACCTGTATAATTTTGTTAACCAGTGTTACCCCAATAAATTCAATTTTTAAAAAGTTAAAAAAAAACAACACCTGTATCAAGGAGATTTCTTTGGTTGAAAGCAACAGAAAATGCCCCTGGCTAATTTAAGTAAAAAGGAAATTTAAGGCTACCTGGAAGATCCAGAATCAATGGGAACTTGGCAAAAGCATAAGAAGTAGGGTAGCTCCAGAGACCAGATAGCAAGAGTTATCAGTTGACTGAATCAACTCCAAATATTTTGTCTATATCCAACTGCTTCACTTTATTCAAGTTTTATAGTTTCAGAAGACAGTATAATTGACAAAGCTTTGATCATGAACCTACCCTTTAGCTAGGGTGGGCAGAGCATTTCCCTTGATCGATAATCTTACCAAGTCTACACACAATGATGCAGAGAGGCCATTTAAAAAACATGAGAGTGATACTACCAAAGGCAGGGTAAATGGATGCTGAGTAACAAGAAAAAAAAAATCCCCACAAAGATCAACTAGAGCACTCAAAAGAGAAACCCATTGACTCAGGTCCTCATATCTTATTTTCAATAATGCCTCAAGTTTGATCATTATTTCTCTTTCAAATCTTTCGAATCCACCCACTTCTATCTGCCTTGACCCCCATCACCTTAGATCAAGCCCCAACATCTCACATGTTGATTAATGCAACAGTTTTCAGCCTTGCTTGTCTCTTCTTTCTTGTTTTCAATTCATTCCCCACACAAATGCCAGAGTAGTCCCTCTAAAACGTTAATCTTATTATGTCCCTCTGGTAGTCAGGTAATTCACCTGGTTCTACCTAATCCCTTTACTCCTGCCCATAAAATCCCATCTCAGCTCCTATAACTCTCAGGAAAAAATTCAGAGTGTCTTATTTGTTGGCTTTTGCCTAACTGTCTAGCTTCATTTCATATCACTTCCCAGAATACCCCTTATCTTCAACCACAAGTACCTACTTTTTTATTACTTGGGACATTCAAACAGAATTAGACTCCATTAAAACACCATCCTGGAAAGGGTCTTACCTAGTTTTATCATTTCTGGGAATCAGAATCTTGGCATCAATGGTAAGGAAGGGTCTATATGTTAGGAGATAAGTCATAATCGGTCTCTCAGACCTCTGCACATTTTGCAAGCAGAGGTACTAATGGCCTTTTTGTTTTCAATTATCTTTTCAAGGATGATTTTATAGCGAAAACCTTACAAAATTAAGATGCTGTCTTCCTCCAGAGCAAAAAACAGCTTGGTTTACTGTCCAGTATAATAAAGGAAATGTCTCCCTCCAAAGCAAAAGTCAGGTGGGTTTTCTCACTTCCCATTATAAAAGATCAGGTTCCTTAACTGAGCTCAGGGTTCCTCAGTTTGACATAAACCCATTGCATGTGCAACATCCACCTGAGTCCCTCTACGTGACCCCCGTGGGACTTAGGTGGCAAGGAGAAACAACATAAACATGATGTTCATGCTGCTTGCTGTGCTATGAGTAATAAATCCCTTTGTCTTTAACCCAGGAGTTTCATGTCTTCTGTTAGCAACTATGAAACTGTGCCAAGGTAACTTGTTATCTTGCAAAATACGGTACAATTCTCAGACTCTATGGTTCTTGACACTAAACAGTAGGTAGGAAAGTGTGAAAGGGTCACGTTTAATTTTAGAATTTGCAAAGACAGTAAAGGAATATGTTGGAAATTATTGAACTCATATTTGTGAATTAAAAAATGTGAATTTTAACTATTCATTACCCTAAGCTAATGTATTAAAAACATTAAAAAGTATATCAGTATACGTTCGTTAGATTACCCCTTTCTGCCGGTGGACGCCTCTGAGTAAGCGTCGTTGAAGTCTCCTCTCCTGCAGTCGTCATTTCTAAGTCAGAGTCCCCCAAAGAGCCGGAGCAGCTACGGAAGCTCTTTATCGGAGGTCTGAGCTTTGAAACAACAGATGAGAGCCTGAGGAGCCATTTTGAGCAATGGGGAGCGCTCACAGACTGTGTGGCGATGAGAGATCCAAACACCAAGTGCGCCAGAGACTTTGAGTTTGTCACACATGCCACTGTGGAGGAGGTGGATGCAGCCAGGAATGCAAGGCCACACACGGTGGATGGAAGAGTTGTGGAACCAGAGGGCTGCGTCAAGAGAAGATTCTCAAAGACCGGATGCCCACTTAACCGTGAAAAAGATTTTTGTTGGTGGAATTAAAGACACTGAAGAACATCACCTAAGAGATTATTTTGAACGGTATGGGAAAATTGAAGTGACTGAAATCATGACTGACCGAGGCAGTGGCAAAAAGAGAGGCTTCGCTTTTGTAACCTTTGATGACCAGGATTCTGTAGACAAGATTGTCATTCAGAAATACCACACTGTAAATGGCCACAACTGTGAAGTAAGGAAAGCCCTATCTATGCAAGAGATGGCTAGTGCTTCATCCAGCCAAAGAGGTCGAAGCGGTTATGGAAACTTCGGAGGTGGTCGTGGAGGTGGTTTTGGTGGGAATGACAACTTTGGCTGTGGAGGAAACCTCAGCGGTCGAGGTGGCTTTGGTGGTAGCCGTGGTGGTGGTGGTTCTGGTGGCAGTGGGGATGGCTATAATGGATTTGGGAGTGATGGAAGCAATTTTGGAGGTGGCAGA